CGATTCCACGGTGACTTTGAAGGGACCTAAGTCTCCTTCTGTAACGCCCATTTATCTGTGGTTATGCGCACTACGCGCTTGTTTTTCCGGGAAACATCGGACTACCCGTCAAGTATTTTTCTCTCTCTGATATATACGTGTCGCAACTACTCAAAGACAATGTGAGAGATAATAGAATAATATACGTACAAATAAAACTTGCCGTAAAGTCTTAATTAATAAGTGACGTTTCAGGTTTGTGGCACATGTAATTGTAAATGCCACTATTAATACAGTTTTCCTGAAATATTGCCCTGTTTTAAATAAAAATTAGCTGTTTACTGCAATCAAGGGTTAGTAGCACTGAGTATGCGAAGGTAGCGGAACTCCAAGGTTCGTGTTCTAAAATCCGCTCACCTGCACCCACACAATTACTATGTGTGAAAAAACAATTATCTTTAAAAGGGTATGCAACTTTTATTACAGTAATTGTAAGTAGCATGCTGGAAAACAGGAATCAAAGTGAAATTACCATATTAACTGAAATAAATATTCAATCCACTTCAATGTACCTACCGAGAAATAATATATAATTTAATACCATCATCATCATTATTTATAGCAATTAAGGCATTAAAGGGGTTATGAGGTAAATGTCGACGCCCCCGGTCGATAGTCTGTTGTAAAGTAAATTTAATTGCTCTATTTATTTATGTACAATTAATTATTAACGAATTTCTAATGGTCCAATAGACTGATTTATAACAGATAATTATTAATTATCACTACCTGTACTCAAAATTTTATAACATGTAAATTTGTAACCCGAGCTCACTAATTTGTCACTTAGGTATCGGTGCTGGAATGTGAATTAGGCCAATCCAATTTGCTTACAGTATAGCAAACCAACAGATTCTAGTATTGTCGAATCAGCAGCAAGATGTCACATCCGCTTTCATTGCCTATCGCGCGTGATTAGTCATTTATCGACTTGTTGGCGACTTGATTCAGGTCAAGTAACGCAAAAGTATTTTACAAACAAGTCAAAATGAGCGAAAAAGTACTGAAGAAATAAAGTTAAGCACACAAATCAGTAGGTACTACAATTACTGCACTAATTCCAGTCACATCGAAACCTGTGTATGACATGCAGTACCTATTCTAATTTCGAAAGATATAGGTGAAGTCCGTAAAGGAAACTGGACTGTCTCCCAATTGTGGAAACAGTCTTCAATATTAAGGAGACAGTGAATGGTGTGAAAAAAATTTATTCAATTAGAATATGTTTGGCCTAAAAAAGGTAGGTACCAACCGAGAAAATCTAAAGTTTTAGGTAAAGTGGTTTTGGTTTTGGGTATGTCAGTATGTGCGGCACTTGCAGAAGGGACGAACTTGAAAATATGCAGTTTAGCGATGTTTCTGACATGGTGGAACGTAAACAAAAAGACCGCAAAAAATTATAAGACTTGACACTTTATTCTTATTTAGGGGGAATATAACCCGTTAATTCGTAATTATACAGGGTGTCCCAAATTTAAAGGTTCACATTGCAATAGCAGATACAGTATCTCAAAATAAGCATAAATTGTTAAATAAACATACGTCCTATCTTGCTTCGTTTTCGAGTTATGGCAGATTAAAGTTAAAAAAAGCGCGTGTAGCATGTATGTGGCAACGCCACTTGGGTAGGCGTTTGACAGTCATGGCAACACTGCCGTCAGCGGTTCTACGAATGCCACCAGCAATCTGACAGTGACATTCCCCCAACAACGAAACGTCGCGTCGCGTCGTACGACTCGGCCATAATGCTCCATGTCGGTCATGTTTTTTTGCAATTGAACTGATTGGAGTAATATAATATAATATAATTTATTGATCGTTGTAGAATTTTTTTTTACGTTTGAAAGTTCAAAAAATCAACTTTTTAAGGTTTGAGTTAAGTTATTAAATTGACCATTAGTTCAAAAACACTTTGTAGAAGGCTGATCAAAATTTAAATCATTCTCATGTAGCATTAAGTCAGTATTGTTGATTTTGGAAAACTTTTTGAAGTGCAGGTCAACGGAGCCATAGGTACAGGGCTCAAAAGGAAAACTGTCAAGAAAAATGTTGAACAGTTTGAAAGTTAAGTTGTTCATTGTTATAATTAGTGTGAAATTATTGTTTTCTTCAACGACCAGAGAAAAAGATAGGAAATAATCCAGGTTTTTTTAAGACCGGGGATGGAGTAGGCCACAAGTGAGATTCACCTCGACCAATCCAGCGACGTTCGCATGTTGCTGTTAAAAAATGTCGAGCAACTACACTAAAATGAGCTGGTGCACCATCATGCATTAACCACATTGCCTGTCTTGTAGTCAATGCTCCAGAATACTTTACTCTTTTGTTGAAACCGATCTTCACAAACCGCATGGGATTTTCGTCACCCCCTGCACACACGTGAAAATTCTGTAGCATTTCGCGAAAAAGTGGTGTCATCGGTAAAAGTAATCAACGTCAGTAGTTGAAGGATGTCAACCAATGTGTGCAAAACCTATTCACAAAATGCAACACGTGGAGAATGGGTACAACAAAGTGTCTCTTAGAATTTTCCAAACAGTCCAATTACTTACAACCAAAGTTTTTGCAATTCTTCGAGTAGAGGGTGAATCTTCTTCCACCATGTCCAGCACGTTCTCTTCTACGTCTACCGTTCTTACAGTCTTTGGCCTTCCCGGTCCTTCACTTCGCTTCAAAGTTCTAGTTTCCCAAAGAAAGAGTTTCCCATGAATACTTTGAAAGATTTTTCTATTGGAAACCTAATAAATTGCTCTTATTATTATGTAAATCCAAAAAAGATGCTCTGCCGCTTCGTTAGATCCGCTTTAGGGGTTTATTATAATTATAATTAGAGTATTAGTAATTAAAATTTAAACTTTTCTCTCCACCAGTCAACAACTGCTGTCTAAGGAATTGCATAAATTACGGTGTAGGGAAGCGGAGTACCATATAGTTAGCAATTGCCGCTATCTTTACATATTCAGGGTGACTAAACTCGATTGTATCATTGAATAAAAACACTATTTATTCAATGATTGTATTAAGGAGCTAATTTTTATTTACAAAATCACAAACTTTGAAGAGATCTTTATCAATAGTTGCGTTTGTAATTAAGTGTTTCACAAATATATACACTCAAAGATTAATTATAGTATTGTAGTGTGTTTTATTTTTATTGTATACATTTGTTACCTCTCACATGAGGTTTCAATGGTTGTGACACTTATATACCGTAGAGCTAGAAGAATATGTCGGGTAGTCCGATGTTTCCCGGGAAAACCAGTGCGTAGTTCGCATAAACCACCAACATGAATTCAACAGAAAGAGTCCTCGTGCCTTTCAAATCTACCGTGGAATCGACTATGGCTACCTTTTTGTTTTTTACCATTCCTATTTCCGAATATAAAAAAGAGTACACGGTTGTGGTAATTCCTGCAAATTTATGTGGTGCTATTATGGTCATTCTGACAAGCCCATCCAAACCGTGTCATGACCGCATCCATCATACCAACTAGACAGACCTACCTAATGGATATGGGAAGTAACCATTCTTTGAATCTCACGCTGGTCGTCTTTTCATTCTTCCTTTATTTCTGTTTTGGTTTTTTCCTGATTCCGTTCTATTATATGTTCTCTTGATTTCTCCCATAAACGTAATTAGCATCTTCATCATCTTTGTTAAGTGAAGCTCTTTCTTGTTTCCTGATCTCTTGGAACATTTCGCATATCACAGCTGCTTTTAGGCCTAATTGCTCCATAACTTCTCCCTAATTTCGCTGCTACCAATTACGAGTATAGCTGACTTTCTTGTTTGTCGTTTATGTGAATTGATTTAATTGCTTTGTCGGTTTCTTGAACCCAGACCGTGCTTCCATACACATTCAATGAAACTCCTGAATGGATGAGCGGACATTTTGGGTAGATATGGTAACTGCATTAGACTCTACCTTAGTGCTAAAAAGTAAAAAGGTAGCCATAGTCGATTCCACGGTGACTTTGAAGGACAATCCTTCTAGATAGTTATTTTTGTCGGTATTTGTGTGCGGACTACGCACGTGTTTTCCCGGGAAACATCGGACTACCCGACAAGTTTAGTTCTCTCTCTGGTATATACGTGGCACAACCACTCAAAGCAAGTGTGAGAGCTAATAAAAGTGTATACGTAAAAGAAAAAACGACAAACGCTGTAATTAGTAATGCACTTCTCAGTTTGAGGCACAAATAAGTACAAATGCAACTATTAAAGGTTTTTTTGGAAAAATGGCTGTGTTCTATAATAGAAATTATCTGTTTCCTGCAATCGATGGCTAGTAGCGTTGCGTATGCGAAGGTAGCGGAACTACAAAGCTCGTATTCCTAAATCCGGTTACCTACACCTACACAAGTACTATTATCAGTAAAAAATCCATCTGGCTTTAAACGGGTAGGTATGCAACTTCTATAACTCCAGTAATTAATATATTGATCACTTTTTGTCTCTGACCGTTTATGTATAGTGTAGAAAGTCACCTCGAAATAATGTATAATTTAAGACCATGATCATTAATAATTATTTATAGTAATTGAGACGGAGAGGTGTACGACGACCGTAGGCGTTGTTTTCATAACAATCTTTGATTATTACCAACAAAGTTGTTACAAAATATGAGAAACGAATGGACGGACGAACGAAAAAACGCTCACGCATTTAATTTAAAAAAAAATGCGCTAAACATTAGAGATAGTTCCCTGGATAGTTCGAAGTCGTTTTGCTTCGAACCGAATAAATGTCTTATTATTAAAACATTTTTATACCCTTTCTTATGGACATTATCCAGTTTTCATTAACTTTCTTTCTTCTATCAGTCTGTCATGGCGTTCATTATTCAAATTTTCTTTGAATTTTGCAAATATTGAGATTCGATTTTTTGCCTTGGACTTTTTGGTCAAGGGAAATCCGAAAAGGCTAGTTTTTTTAAAGTAGTAACTGTAAACTCACTTACCCTTCAAAGCTGCTCATCGAATCTGCAACAAATAATAGTTATTAAACAGCGTCTATTGCAATTAGCAACAAATTATACTTATTTTAATAAAAGTAATATATGTAATGTGTAAGGGTATTATGATTCAGAGCCAGGTAGTATTTTCAATTATAATAGCGTAATTTGTATGAATGATTACATATACTTACAGGGTGAAGATTTTAAAACAAAATTTTTTTAAAAGAAACTTTTTATGGTATCCAAAATTATAAACAGTTTGCTACCAATCTATGTAGGTACTTTTAATTTGTAGTCAGGGGCGTACTTCTGCATTGTCGAAGGGGCACACTTTTTTGAAATAGCAATCTGTAGTTATCATTTAAAAAGCAACCTTTTTTGAATAATGCAGCTTCAAAAACTTATAATAAACAATCAAATTTAAGAGAAAAACTCAAATTAAAGAAAATAATTTGTTAACTGATTTCATACCTTTATTAGTTTGATCATGTTTTTTATGTTGCCAGTTTTTAACAATACCTCACGAAAAATAGTGTTTTCCAATTAAAAAAGTGAGCCTCGTAGTTCTGTAAACGCCTCGGTAGACGCACTCCACTAAATTAAATTTGCTTATGTAATATAAGTTTTTTATGCTGCTATATGCAATAAAGAATATTTAATGAAAAGTAGTAGTTGCGAAAAAATAAGCCCTCCTTGACCAAACAGGAATACGCCACTGACCACAAATTTAAAATAATTCGATTGGAAGCAAACTTTTTCGAATTTTGGATAGATTTTTTTAAAAAACGTTGTTTTGAAGATATATTTAGTGTTCTAGACAACATTTTCACCCTGTATAGAAGCATGGAATAATCCCATGAAAAAATGTAATGAGGTACGCGAGGCCTTTTGCCCTAAGTCGTAGATACCCGAAGCCCAAATCTAATTACATCTTACCTAAATAAGTTATGACCTATATTTGTGTACTAAATTTATACTGTTTATGTCTAATTTAGAGCGTATAGGCTAAAATGCGTTCCCGTCGAACCTACAGTAATTTGTCGAATGCTTTCGAAAAATCCATAAGTTTATTATCATCTAACGCGGTCAACAGATCGTCGGTTGCTTTTAACAAAGCCTTTTCACGGGATATAAGTACCCCGATCTAAAACCAGTTTGAAATTTAGGAAGGATGTCAAATCGCTTTGAGTAATTTCTTATTTGATAGACTAAAACTTGTCCTAGAATTTTCGAAAGCACTGGTAAGACACTAATGATCCTTAGATCGAATAGGATTAGCAAAAACTCACTTTTCAATAAAGTATTCACAATGTGTCACAGAGGGTGGAAGTTTGAAAACTTGATCGGTTTTTCTGATGCCCTACGCCGACCATCAAGATATCAATTATTGGCTCTGGGTTCATTGGTAACAGTAGTGTGCTCTAGTATATAAGAGCACGTTTCTACAAATTATCAGTCAATTGATTTCCAAGATCTATATGTTGCATAATAATTGATTTACTTCTAATAGTAGCTAGAATAATGTAAAATAACAACATGATCCGAAATGGAATGATTTACATCAACTGAGTGATGAGTTATAGTTAATTCCAATGTCGGAGGTGAGTACAGTACGAATACTATCCAACGTATTGTTGATCACCAGGTTTATTGAAATTAAGCAAGTCAATGTTAAAATCTCCCATGCAAATAATGTTTTTTGATTTCACTTGGCGATTCGAATACATATGTACTTGCAATTCGTCCATAAATACACAGTAATCACAAATTCTGGGCGACCTCTAAATCTCTCGCTCTGAAATCAATGGCGAACAAAGTGCAAATGAAGTTCTAAGGCAAAGGATTGCCATTCCTATGTCTGAGAGTCAATATTTTGGAAGCTTATAACTGATTCTCTAAAACTTTGATGTAATGAAATGAGACAATCCTCTCCCTTTTGCTGCGGAAGACTTAAATGGGTAGTCAAGCACAATGCTTCTCCTGCACCACAAAACCAAACGCTATGATGATATGATTTTTTGAAAGAGCATATATCACTACCAATACAATATCATTGAAATGGCTTTGGACGTCGTAATAGTCTTTCATACATCCATAATTACCTAATAAAGTACAACTTCGTTTCGGGAAACAAACTGAACTCTCAGGAAACATAAGTTTAGTATCATCATGACAATCCTATTTTACAAATGCGGGATTATACTGAAGGTACTCCGAAAGATTTTAAAATAAAGATTAGACAGATGGGCGGACAAACGAACAATGAGGCCACAATAGTGTACTCTCTTTTTTATTTTCAAAAATGTGCAAAATAACAAAAAGGTAGCCATAGTCGATTCCACGGTAGCTTTGAAAGGCACGAAGGCTCTCTCTTTTTTTTTATCGTGCGTGTCGTGCGAAATGCGCACTCGTTTTTCCCGGGAAACATCGGACTACCCGATAAACACTTCACCCTCGCTGGTATATAAATGTCACAAATAGTGAAAGCTAATGTGAGAGGTAATGAAAGGATATGACTAAAGAAAACAGAATACATAATGCTGTAAGTAATCATGCAATTCGAAGATTTGTGGCTCACATAATTTCAAGTGCAACTGTTGGGAGAGATGTTCTTCAGGGTTGTGATCTTTAAAATAAAAATTATTTTTTTGTACGTTCGAGCTTAGTAGCATTGAATATGCGAAGATAGCGGCACCTAAAAGAACATAGTAGGCACTCCGCTTATCCACTACACTTAATTAGATATGCAGCTACTACAACAGCAATTGAATGCGGGTGGACAGGAAAGTTAAAATTGTATTTATTAATATTTTTCTTACTATACTTTCTATATTGCAGTAAAATTCTGTGTTCAAGATGCTTCCACTCACTATAGTTGGTTCATCCAGTGATTTTGACAGTGGTTTTTTCAATACCATTTGACGACCGTTGATAAATAACACAACAACATAATGATAACAACTTAGTGTACAGGGTGCTAAAAAATTTTCGAATCTTTCCATCAAAGACACTCTGTGAGCATGTCTATTCGATGAGAATTCTTGTTGGAATTTTTGTTAAAATGTGGAACCTGTCCAATTTATGATTTCTCCAAGTAAATGTGTTACAATGATAGGTACCTCTACTGGTTTTTTATTTCATTATTCTCTAACTACAGATTAAAATGCGATATCTTTAGGAAGTGCCTTTTCTGTACATCAAAAAATTCCCCAACTAGCGATAGTTTCCAAAATTATTGTAGTAACGTGTAGGAATCTAGGCGAATAGTGAATAGTACATTACGTAGAGCGAACTTTTCACACGAGGTGTGATTATGTTACTACACAAAACATATTACGATTATAGGGTACGTTTTTTTAGACGCATACACACTTTTTTGCCGTTTGCCGTTTTTTGGAATCAAGTAGTGAGTTGTTTTTTGAAGGAGAAAAAGAATTTTTAAAAATATTGAATAAACTTAGATTCCAAGCTGTCCATTTTATTGAAAGAAAACTGAAATTCGTGAAATCTTCAGGTTACCCCAATTATTAAACCCCTACTTACGTGCATTAAGAATTTCATCAAAACTCGCCCTTAATTATGTGCTAGAATTTCGGAAACCATTCCGCACAAGACACAATTCACTTCGCACTTCGCGGTACCACTTGCAAAATTATAATGCCGTAGGTGTAGGAGGATGATTAACGTAAACTTGTAAAGGTCAAAACGCGGTTATCTACATAACCGGGTCGGGTGTAGGTGTATTCAAATTGGAGCGATTGGGGCCGAAAGAGCCAGTATGTTCGCGCTGATGTGTGTTCGGATGATTGTTGCTAATCCACTGAATCATCGAGCGAAGGCATTGTAGGTTATACACCTGTAGCCTTACAATCTATTGGGACTTTCCATAGTAGATTATTATATCAAATTGAGAGTATAGAAACGGGACAACGTAAAATTAATTCTTTTAACTTTCCAAAATGAGACCATTTGCGTGGACGAACATTATTTTTTGAAACGGTTTTGCGTTTGGCATCAAAATCATTGTAAAGCATAGCGTATATGCTGAAGAATTTTGAAACCCTCCAGGGAACCAGTGAATGAAACCCGTACAATTTTTTGGTACACGACACTCACTAATATAACACAACCGTGCCATTTCACATACAGAGTGGGATCAAAAACGAAACAGCTACTTTCGGAAATTTAAAATGAATTTCGAAAAACATTTCAAAATCAAAAATACACCCCTAAGTTTCAAAGTTTTGCACCTCTTAGCACTAAGGGTACAAGATGGCCGTCTACAATGACAATTTTAACCTGAGACTTCCCATTTTGGCCCACAGTGACCACAGTTTAAACATAATTCTAGAATTACTACAATTAGACATTAGGGTAGACATATTACGCTTTGGGTCCGATCAGAGCCACTCAGGTAGAACACGCAGTAAAGGGATATGGCATACTATAACCACAGATATACTGATATACCTACACATACAACAGACTGCTAACCTTATGCATTTTATGGGTAACACATATTTGGGTATACTTAAAAGCGCCTTCTATTTAGCAGCAGATAATGCACGCTTAGTGAAGTGACAGACGGAAAACGCCCAACGCCAAGTTACGGAAAACCGTTTTTAGTTTGAAGACATTATTTTTGCACAATCGCTCGGCGGGGCGGAAGATAGATTGGGTGTTGGAATATGATCCCGAAACCAAAAGACAAAGTCCTGAATGGCACACCTCGTCCCAAGAAGCAAGACGATGACCATTGTGTTCTTTTACTTTAGGGGAATCGGCCACCGCGAGTTTGTAGCACATGGTACAACTGTCAAATTCTACGTGGAAGTGCTCAAAAGACGCAAGCGAAGGTTCGTCCGGCCTGACAACGCAACCAATCGGAAACTACGTCATGACAACGCACCAGCCTACTCCGATTTCCTCGTGACCAGCTTCTTGGCCGATTCAAACGTACCAACGATTATTCCTTTTTTCTGTTCCCTCGCTTGAGAAGCTTTGCAGAGGCCTTCCATGACACAG